ATTTAGTATAAACTAAATAAAAGAATTGCTTTTGCTGCATCTCATAAGTTTTGCTATGTTGCGTTTCTATTTTCACTTGTCTCAAGATAATTTTTGATTTCTTTCTAATTCTCCTTTGACCCATTGGTTGTTCAGGAGCGTGTTGTTTAATCTCCACATTTTTGTGAACTTTCCAGTTTTCTTCTTGTGATTAATTTCTAGTTCCATACTATGTGGTCAGAAAAGATGCTTGATACAATTTTAGTGTTCTTAATTTATTAAGACTTGTTTTGTGGCCTAACATATGATCTGTGCTGGAGAATGTTCCCTGTGCACTTGAGAAGACTGTGTATTGTGTTGCTGTTGGATAGAATGTTGTGTATGTTTGTTAGGTCTACCTGGTCTAACACTTAGGTTATGTCCAATGTTTCCTTAGTGATTTTCTGCCTGGATGATCTACTTATTGTTGAAAGTTGAGTATTGAAGTCTCCTGCTAGTATTGTATTGCTGTCTGTTTCTCCCTTCAGAACTGTTAACATTTGCTTTATATACTTAGGCTCCTATGTTGGGTGCATAAATATTCACAATTGTAATATCTGCTTGATTAATTGGTCTCTCAATTATTATAGAGACAAAGAAGGTCATTGTCTCTTGTTACATTCTTTGGCTTAAATTTATTTTGTCTGATGTAAGTACAGCTACTCTTGCTTTGTTTTGGTTTCCATTTGCATGGGATGTCTTTTTCCATCCCTTCACTTTCAGCTGACATGTCCTTAAGCTGAGTCTCTTGTAAGCAGCATATAGTTGGGTTTTGATTTTTATTCATTCAGCCACTCTATGTCTTTTGGTTGGAAAATTTAGTCCACTTATATTTCAAGTAATTATTGATAAGTATGGACTTAATATTGCCATTTTGTTAATTTCTAGTTATTTTGTAAATCCTCTGTTCCTTTCTTCCTCTCTTGCTCTTTTTGTGATTTGATGATCTCCTGTACTGGTATGCTTTGATTCCGTTCTCTTTTATATATATAATATCTCCTATAGGCTTTTGCTTTGTGGTTACCATGGGGCTTACATAAAACAATTTATATTTATAACAGTCTGTTTTAAGCTGATAATTTCAAACACATACAAAATCTCTCCTACCCCATTTTATATTTTTGATGTCACAGTTTGCAACTTTTTACATTGTATATCCATTAACAAATGATTTTATAGTTATTTTTATTAATTTTGTCTTTTAACCTTCTTTACTACATTTATAAGTGGTTTACCCACCACCATTACATTATTCTCAATTTACATGTATATTTACCTTTACCAGTGTTTTATACTTTCATGTTTTCGTATTACTAATTAACATCCTTTCACTTCAGCTTGAAGATTTCCCTTTAACATTTCATGTAAGGCTGGTCTAGTGATGATGAACTCCTTGAGATTTTCCTTGTTTGGAAAACTCTTGCTCTCTCCTTCAATTCTGAAGGAGAATTTTGCCAGGTAGAGTATTTTTGGTTGGCAGTTTTCTTCTTTCAGCGCTTTCAATATATCATCCTTTTCTTTTGTGGGTGCAATGTTTCTGCTGAAAAATCTGTTGTTTTTCTCTTGCTGCTTTTAGGATTCTCTCCTTGTCTTTAATGTTTGACAATTTAAGGATAATGTGTCTCAGTGTGTTTCTCTGGAGTCATCCTCTTTGGTAGTCTCTAAGCTTTCTGGATTTGAATATCTCTTTCCCCAGGTTAGGGAAGTTCTCAGCTACAGTTGCTTTTAATAAGCTTTCTGCCCCCCCACCCCCAACCTTCCTTCTGAGATCTCTATAATGTATTTGTCCTTTGGATGGTGTCTCCTAAGTCCCTTGAACTGTCTTCACTCATTTTCATTCTTTTTCCTTTTTGCAACTCTGATTGAATGAGTTCCACTGGCCTGTCTTTGAGTTCATTGATCCTTTCTTCTAATTGATCTGGTCTGCTCTTGAACCCCTCTATTGAATTTTTCAGCTCAGTGATTGTGTTCTTCAGCTCTGTGATTTCTGTTTGATATTTTTAAAATATTTTCTCAGTGGAAGTTCTTTCTTTGTCATGCATTGCTCTCCTGACCTCCGTGAGCATCTTTTTGACCATTATCTCTGTCAGGTAAATCACTTATCTCTGTTTCATTAAGGTCTACTTCTGTATATTTATCTTTTCTTTTTCCTGGAACATAATCCTGTTTCTTCTTTTTCCATGACTCTGTGTTGGTTTCTGCACATTAAACAGCCACCTTTCGCAGTCTTCACAGAATGGTCTCATATAGGAGATGAACCTTGTCGATCAGCCTTGCTTGAGCTCCTAGCTGTCTCTCAAACTTCTGTGATGGTCCAAGCTTCCTCCTTTGTCTTTAGTGGCTCTCAGTAGTTGAGGTTGTACTAAGACCCATCAGTTTCCCAAAAGGGAGCATTGCAGTTAGCATCTAGATGCTGGCTGATTAGAACCTGGACCCTCAGGCAGCAGCTGGGCAAGTGTGTAGTTAAGCTCTTTCCAGGGAGAAACAGAGATGGGCATTTCTGCCTGTTCTCTCTGTTCTGGGCCTGGGTGTACAGTCAAGGGGGCAGAGGGAGGGAGGGTGCCCCTGCACCCATTAAGAAATTTATTTTGTTTGCCTCAGTCCTGTGGGACTCATGAATGCAAGCCCCACTGACTATCAGAGCCAAGCAATCAGGTGACCCTCCCTTGGGTGGCAGCCATAAAAGCTGGGGCACAGATGTGTGTACAAGCTCCTTCCAGGGAGATACTAGTAACTTGGAGTAGGTTGGAAGAAGGTGGGAGAGGTGTTTCTCCTGCTTCCCTGGTTTCTGGGGAAGATCACAGCCAGCCCCTAGGGCCTGCTAGATTAGAAGCCTGGCCCTCAGGCAGCAGCTTTTATTTATTTATTTATTTATTTATTTATTTTAAA